AGTATTTAAAATTACAGTGACGACTAAAAACAAACAACATCAACTGTAAAAGACATCGTAATCTTTTTATAGTGAAACAAAACGTCATGAGACACTCAAATAAGGCATGGTTTTAGAAGAGCCACAATCGCACGACTACTATAGTTACATTTGAAAACACTCTTAATGGGTATAATAACGTTGATCTGCGTAGGGTTGGGATGCTTAAAATTATCTTATAGCTTTTTAAAGTACAATTTGGGTCGACAAGTTTATTTTTATTTCAAACATCTGCCAGCAGTATTATTTCTTTAACAACAGGAGTTGCGGAACTTAGCATACTTAACAAGGCGATATGCGGACTCCATTGCAGTCAAGAATCAAGTATTATGACAATACTGTCTTCAATCAAAAATAAGTTTGATTCATGATTAAATACAACAAAACCTTAATGATTAGCTAATGAAAAAGTCCAATCACATAAAAGCGCTTGTCGACGATCGTTTCTCAATAAAATCCATACCATCATATCCGTGGAGATTGATGGTGGATCCAATAAGATGACTTGCTAACGGAACTCGAGCGCGAAGTGTCATTTTTCATGTCGCATTACAGATATTTGATAACACTCTGCCGAAAGTTTTGCACTTATTCATTTGGAAATAATTATATGGATTTTTACCAATGTTAAGAAATACGAAGAAAAAAAATATTGTAACGAAATATTCTTATGTGATTCTAATGAAAAAGATTTTATACGAGGTATAATCTGCGTAGTTATAAAGGAAACTTATTTAGAGTATCGCCGTTTCAAACACTACGAGGTTGTATGTTAGGGAAACTTAAGAATTACAGTTAGAGATGAGGTTTCTGATGACTATTATATTTGTCATAACTGGAAGTGCTCGTCACGAATGTGTTCATGACAGTACAGATTGTACAATTGTTAAAAAATATTGCAAACGTCACGAGAGAGCAGAGAAATTATTATATTACAATCAGAAAACAAATAAGTTCAAAAGAATTATATGGTAGAAGACGAAGCGCCTAATTGAGATGTGTTATTATGGTAAGATCATTGTTTTAAACAGGTATTAAAGTTAGTCTATGTTTTATGTTAAGACGGTATAGGTTTGGGGGCCGAGATTTTACACAATGTAAGAAAAAATGCTCTTCGGAATTATGTAAATGTAAAAGATCAAACTTATTGTATAAGTCAAAATGCCATGACGCCATCGCCATGTCAAAAGAAAAACTAATTTATTTTTAAATTGGTGTCATCATAATTCAAAATAAGAATAAAACTTTTAAATAGCTACTTCTTCAGATTTATCAACTAATTTTATTATACGTTATATCGAAAGTATAGAAAAATTTAACAAAGTAAAGTCTGCATTTTAATCTCAGACACTAAATTGGCACTTGCAAATGTTGAATATAGAAATAGTGATACCAGTTTTTTGAGCAGTATTATATTTTGGAAGAATCAGTAATTTATTATTTTTATTATCTTTATCGATAAGGACTATTTATAAGGTGGCTCCATCGACAGTACCATTCTCCGATCTGATTAATAATAATATATAAGTGTCATAATAAACTGGAAGAAATGCAATATTTACAATTATTATTCCTACAGTACATTAAGAATTACTAACACGAGTTAAAGGTTGTCAACGAAATAAGTAATGGAAATTGTCTTTTTAAAAAAGACAGTAGACTTAAAGAAATAAGTTACCATACTATTATTAACTTATTAAGTGGGTTCTTGTGTAGGTACATTTTATCAGTGACTTTTAAACAAAAAGGTAATCTACTATATTTTTTTGTTTAAAGTCCGGTTAAGGCACATCACTATTTAAGAATTGCAAAAATTTGCCAACACAGTAAATGTCCTCCGAACCTACAATACACATTAAACTTGAGAAACTCGATGGCGGTTATGTTTACCGTGTTCGGTCGGCAGTGCGGAGATTAAGCATCTATCGTAGGTGCCGGGCATCGGATGGGCAACCAAAAACACGCTAAGCCTTAACATGAACTACAGTCATTAACAACCGCACCGGAACTGTACTGTACTGGGCCTGAGTGGATTATGGCGCGATCACCCTATTAAATTCAATCCACACTATAGAAAAGCCAGTGTCTCAGCAGTGGGGATATTAATAGGCTGATGATGATGATGATAACCCGTTTACAACTAGAGATGCATCCAATTCAAATACCGATATATGCGTGAGTTATTGCGAGTTCTCGGGCAGATCCGAATCGGCGAAATTAATGAATCGATACACCGCAATTTTTTTTATTTCGAGCGCCAGAAATAACCCACCTCACCTAGCCCATTTCGCTAGTTGCTTAATACTTCCATTCAATTCTTAATTGCAATAGTGTTGGTAATATAAGATATTCTATACAAAAACAGCACCATAACATAAAAACCCTGTCAGGTCGCATCAAGATTATACAATATACATTTACGCACATAACACATTTACTTTAACTACCAACACTAAGTATTATATTACAATATTTAATAGATTTCATGTCAATTGTACCTATGTTTTTGTTAAATAATAACAATAATTACAAATGTGAAACCGAAATTAATTAATAATTAAACTGTCAATAACAATAATAATAAAAAAGGATAAATTTCTGTAAATGGTATAACTATATTACAATAAACTTCGCATCAATAATAATATGTATAAATCAAATAATAAATGTGAAATTTAGCTAAAAATGTCACAAGATTAATTAAATTAAATATGTTATAATTTGTCATTAAAATATTCTTGTATATTATAATAAGATATTATATACTTTGATTTGTTTTTTAGTTTTATACTATTTTATACCTATAGAACTTTCTTTAAATCTCCGTTGTCCGCATCGTATTGTTGAAGTGCATTACATGTATCTCTATTAACAATTAAATGATACGCCGATATTTTACATGAATCAGAAAATCTGTACTATATATAATTTAACGAAAACCCAAGTATATTAATGAATTTTATTTTTCGATACAACTTATCAAGACACTATAAAGAACTCTTTTATCCACAGTATTAACCGACATATTTAAAATACGATGGCTATAATCAATGTACGGTAATCTTAAATATCCGTATAATACAAATGATTCTCATCCCGCCAAAAGTTGTCAAGTTTCACCAAACTGTTCAGTGTTTACTAATATAAAGTAACTAATTATTATGAGGTCCGACATTTTGTCTTGACAATTCAGTAATTTTTTTTATAAATAAGTATGAGTTATAAAGTAAATTTATTACGAAAATCCTTTTTTTTTTGTTTTTCGTAATAAAAAAAGGTTTTTCGTAATAAATTTACTTTTTATCAGTCATATTTTTCAGTTATAATGGCATAGCCTATATGCCTCGTAAAATCTGTAATATTAATGACATAATTTTATTTATTCACAATTCATACATAAAGCCAAAATAAACAATAAACTATTAGGTACTCACTGTCTCTTAATAAGATTCCTTTCATTTCGGTTTTGAGGGAATAATATATTTTCTTATAATACCTATCTGGTGAATTGAGGGCGGTCCTAACCTCCTAACACCGCGAAACTGTTTGTTGGGCCATAGGCCCATCCATGTTCTGAGATACTGATTCTTGGTAACTACCTACCTACGGCATAAAAATTCAACTCTGTAAGAATCAAAAAAATATAAAATGCATAATACTAGTCATGCTTTTTTTTTATCAAGAACTACGATAAAATATCAACCAACTTTAATTGATGGCATGGGATCATGCCTGTGGACATAGTAGAGGTATGAACTCCTGGCATAGTCCTTAAAATAATTCACAACTGAGTCTGTAATTATTTACAAACTCAGTGTCGGGAATATTTCTTATATTAAGGCTATTTCGAAACCGCCGCCGGTTTCTTCTACGGTCTAATCGTTCTTCACTGAGAGTGAACTCGGTTAATAGTAATATAGATCCCATTTCGAAAATAAAAAATTGCTGACAAAAATGAAAAGGTAACATTTTTTACTTCATCAATTTGAGGTAAGAATATAATTAGATGTCAAATTCAAATTTTCATTTCATTATTTCGTGAAATAGAGTAGGTTTGGAAAATAAATATGTCAAACAATTTTCGTTCTTTGAATATTCGGAATGAACGTAATTGTAGTAGGAAACGTCCGAAATTTCGAACGATATTTCGTTTTTCGGTGAATTAGAGTAGGCTTCCAGGTTTCAGGGGGTTTAGACGTTTTTCAATACACATTTATTTCAGTAAATCAGCTTTGAATCATGCTCTTTATTAGCTGATCGATTAAAATAAAATAATGTTCAAAATGCCGGTAGGTAAATACCTATAAAATTAAAAAATTGCACACGAACAACATGTTTTCCTTATCTGATACCAAAAGACTTAAAGCCGTATGCTTTAAGTCTTTTGGTTTAAAAACAATTTTGTTCTTGTTGGATATAAATGTTATCTAGAAAAACCGTTGTCACAATGTTTCAAAAGAGGTTCAAAACGCTACTCCACGATAATGAGGTAAATTAAGTGAATTAATTATGACAAATATTATTTAATTTCCTGAATCCGACGAATGAAAAAATATAATTTGTTAAGGATCTGGCGATTTTATTGTAGCTTAATTTTACATAGATACCTATATCAAATAAATCGTGACATTTACAATTAACATTCTATCTATAAAGAATATTGCTATTACTTCAGCAATATTTCGGGTAACGCTTATAATTTTGAGTTTAATTTTATTTGAAATATATTGGGATAGCTTTGTGTACGCAAAATTAATAACACATACAGCTAAAAAAATATTAAAAAATGGTTATAAGTAATTAAATCTATGACAACATTAAAAAGTTATCAACGTAAAAATGAAACATTCAAGTTTGTTTTATTCTCTGTTTGGTTCTACGGATCCCTAACTATCGCCAAGGCTCGCGCCAATAGCATAAGTTTACCGCCATATAAAAAGACGGTATCAATGTATTAAAGCATTCGTATGTAAGTTGGTTTTAAGGTAAGTTAATTATACGACTTACCTTAAAAATGGTGCTCAGTAGAATACTTTTATTTTCTGTTTTCCTAATAATCGTAGGAAGTGAAAAGATACGTTATGATTCATTTAAAGGGTGTCCAATAAGTGACAAGGAATATAAAGAAACTATAAAGAGGAACACCACGTTGTAAGTATTTTTTTATCACCACCATTTTAATAACTCGGTGTTATTTATATAATATCTAGTAATAACTGGTGCATCAATTTCATTTATGTGTATTCGATATTGTCAAAGATTGCCAAAATTCTTATATTGTATATGGGTTCATAATCGCGTATGTTAATATTTGTAAATGTATATGTAGACAGTATGTTTGTCCACGTAGTTCTATTCGTAGAAAACTTTTTTTTTTATTATCATCTGTTTGAATAAAGACATTTAATCTAACGAAAAATATAATGAAAGTTGTTTTAGTAGTTTTAAAAGTATATAGAACAATTTGAAAAAATATAAACCTAATTATTATATTTGGTCAATTTTTGCATTCACAATGCTGTACTGATAAATATTTTTCCGAGTCTTGGGATACTTCGGTCTGATGGTTTTTAAAGTGTTTTTCATTAAAACAAACTCATTGATTGTTATGGTTGATATCAATAAAGTTTCTTCAAAAATCACAATATGTATTACAGAGTAAAAAATTAATAAAGTTTAACGATGTCAAGAAACTTGAACTCGAAAGCTTTTCTTGATATTAGAAAAATTAAGCATCTCATAATCTTTGCCAGTCTTTAAAGTACTTTTTTGTATTTCTTAACGGATTTTCTTGATATCTTTTGAGACGAAGGCAGGTTTATTATAAAAAAGAAATATAGTAAACATAGGAATGAAAGAAAGTCGGAGGTAATAATTTTTAAAAATGTTATATTTGATAAATTTTGCATTCACAATGCTATACTGAGAAATATTCTAAATGAAAAATACTCGTACTTAATCCACTTTGTCCCTGGTGCCCTGGTGCCAGAACAAATTTTATATTTTATTGAAAGTTTAAATATTTTTAAAAATATTTCTTTCGGCTATTTAGGTAGTTTGTCTGAACATTGATGAAAATACGCTCTGTGGTAGCGAGACAGTAACAGGTGTTTGAAAAATTCGATAGTCCTGTTAGTTCCTGGGCAGCTGAGTGGTTAAATCAGTCGCCCGGATTTCGAAAGGGTTCGAGGCCCCCTCAGTGTGCCAGGGACAAAGTGGATATTTAAGCATTTATTATTAAGAATTTTGTAGTTGCTGGGTGCATTATGCCTATAACCGATTTTCTGTGTCTGATAATTTTAAGCCTAAAAGTTATTTACATGTTCACATTTAATATAAGGAACTTTAGGATTTTTTGTTAATATCTTGTGCTTATGTGATACCCGTAACATATATTACTGTTTGTTCCTTAAATAAATAAATACATTAAAAAAATATAGCTGGTGTGTAAACGAAATCGAACCGTGCGATCCGGATGAGGGTAGACGTGTGGATGGCTCGTGCAACAATCTGAAACATCCAACCAGAGGTGCAACGCACACACCCTTCTATAGAATACTGCCAGCTGAATATGATACAGGTAACTATCTCATCATCATAAGCCCGTTCTTCATTATGAATATTCACTGTGAATTTCGGAAGATATGTATATTTATAAAATAATTTGTTGCTTTATCCCGAGATCGCCTGCGTAAATTATAATACATTTCATCCGCGTATGATGTAGCTACCGATGCATAGGTGATGGAATATTTTAAATTACTTCATTAATTTCGGAACTTATTCAACGCACACGAACAAATAATCAAATCTTTCCACTTTATAATGTTAGTATAGTGGTTAATTTGCTGTCTTTGTAATAAAATCCACAAAAAAAAAGAATCCCATTTAAATATTTGAAGAATGGTCAATCGAACTAGAATCGCTGGGTGTTATTTTATTAAAATAAATTAACACGGAATAACAGAAAAACTAAATGAATAATAATTTGCCTTACTTCCTTGACAGATACAGTTCAGTGTAATAATGAGATATAGTTTAAATTGTTATGTGTGAAACCTTTATGCAGGCTTATTATATTTAAAAAAATGGCCTTCAATTTAATATGTTTTATTTGTTTAAAACAATAGCAAACTAAATAACAACCAGTTTTTTTTTGGAATTACAAACTTTGTTGCTGTTATTTAAAATTTTAATTTGTAAGAAATACCAGTTTTCCTTTTTACAGCAACTATATACATACGGAAAAGATTCAGTCAAGATAATCACAATAAAGAGAAGTTTAAAATGTATAAAATTTATATATGTATTATGTAACAGTCTATTATTATTTTACGTTTTTATATTTTACTCTCTAGTAATGATTCTAGCTATAGGTTATGACATTCTATCGATGTTTTGGGTATATTTCATTTCATTTTACTACGTTGACATATACTTTAGTAACGACGAAAGATAAAGAACTTTTCGATTTCGATCTTTGAACGTAACATGTATAATCCAAATATTTGTTTAATTACCGTTAAAATTATTGCACATTCTGATATGTATGGAGTGATGGTTATACAAACTCTCGAACACAATTCATTGTCTATTTTCTAGATGATGGTAAGTTTGAACCTCGCAAGGCAAGTGACGGTGGTCCGCTGCCACTGGCCAGGTACCTTCGCACGAGTTTCCTTGCCGAAGGAAAAGTTCCCGATCCAGTATTTACGCAGCTTCTCACACACATTCTGGCCTTCGTTGTTAGCGATGTTCTATCGCTTCAGGATACTGGTAATATTCATAAAAATATCGTTAAATCTATCCATAGTGTAAAACAAAGTCACTTCCCGTTGTCTGTACGATGAGATCTTTAAACGATACAACAGATGTCAATGCAGATTTCATCAATATACAGAGTTATTAGAAAAAAAAGGTTTTTATATATATTACAGGACAAAGATGCTCGCGAAAAGCTAGTATAATAATGTATACAGCGTAATGGTGTTTTTTTTCAATAAAACATACTACAGGATTATAGCTAGTACACATTGGGACACATTACATCTGTAAGCATTAGAGCTAGTACACATTGGGTACATTTTAAGGTCCTTGAAACCTTCTTGTGTTATTCTAGCCAAGCGCATGTATATTAAATGCGTGTTAAAACGTCTGATGAAGCTGTTACACGGTAAATCCTATTAATCGATGTAAACCGAATTGCATTTCTGAGACAGACAAAATTTGTTGTGAAACAGGTGCCGGTTTGCTAACCATCCAGACGATAATATAATAATAAAAAAACAAAACTACGTTACATTGCATAGATCCCGAAATAAAATCATCAAATGAAAAAGACGAAATTGTGTGAAAAGAAACATAAGGATAGACTACATTAATCCTACACTGGTTTTAAATCCAAAGATATACCTGCTGTTTTCTCACTACTTCGCCTGCGTAAATTATAACCTGTCACCCGTGTATTATGTAACTTCTTATAGATGAAAGAATTTATTAAATCTGTCGTATATTCAGTGCAAACAAAGAAACAACAAAATCTTTCTAATTTACAGTATAAGTATAGATTATTTTTTCCGTGAGTTTTAAGCATTCATCTAACACAATTTAATAGAGAAAAAATTAACGAAACAAGATTATCTATTTTTAATTTAAATAATCAGTTCATAGTTAATAAACCAGTTAAGTAAATAGAATAAATATACAACCTTTATTTTTGTTATATCCATATTGTTACAATAAAAAAAAGATTTTTTTTAATATTTTTAATGGCGTCATAGATTTTGAATTTTTTATAAATATATATATATATATATATATATATATATATATATATATATATATATATATATATATATATATATATATATACACCCAGTGTTATCGGGATGGTATAACACTTTTAATGATGATGCTATATACATTTCAATATATGCAAATAAAAACAGACATAAATACAAACTTACAGATATTAAACCTAAACACAACACCCTTCTTTTTTGGGAAGTCGTGTAAAATCACTAACTTTTATTGTTGTAGTAAATTATATAGTTTGGAGGCCATACTGCTGTCTCCCGAAAGGCAAAACCGACCCTAACTGCGTTCCCAATGAGGTTCCTGTCGACGATCCGGTACACAGGTTCTCTGGTATTCGTTGTTTCAACATGACCAGGCCGGAGTCTTTCCAGTCTATGGGATGTATCAAAAACGGCACAGTACCAGAAAGGGTAAGTACTACGGAGCAATATAAGGTAACACTTGGCCCGTATACGATTTGGAAATCACCAATTTTTAATGCTTTTTAACTTTTATATTAGAATACAACACGTTTTGTTGCTCTATAGATAACTACTACTCATACGAATTAACATGACACCTGAATATGCCTGACCACTAAAGGTGAGAAAAATGCTAATGCGACTCATAATAATAGCATTCGTCGATAATTATGATTAAACGGAGGAAAGACCTGATGTCTCTGATGTACAGATGAATTTAACAAAATATAAGAACGATTTGAAATTTTTCTAATTTACGTTCGAGGATCAAAAAAATAGGCCTTCAGGTGTCAGGCCACTCGATTCTATTTTTTAACATTCTAAGGGCTAGCACACATATAACGAAGTCTGGCGCTGAGTTTAACTGCGAAATTTCTAGACTTATTATTTTTATAAATTTTGTTATGTAAGGTGGGAGGGGGGACTTACGGCTAATAAGTTTCTGTGTGTAATATTTCTATTATAAATACCAAATTAAGATGGTAAAAACAGAAATAAAAAAAATGAAGATAAAATTAATTATTTTAATGCCTGGTTAAAAACGAGACAAGACTCCACTGTCCTGTCTGTTACCAGGCTATATTTCATTAACAATAACAATAGACAAACAACATGAAGCAGTAGCCCAAGAGGTATTCAGCTCGGTGTTGGATGTTCCATAAAGGAACAAACACTGATATTAAGCAGTACCGTGATAGTTCATAACTCTATAACAAAAATACAAAAGCAGAATAAATTAATTATTTAAGGGGCCTTTTTTGATAACGGAATCGATTGCTATGTGCGTGAATCCAACCCTCACTAGGCCTTGGAGTTTTGTTTTAAACTAATAGTATAATTTAGTTGGTTTAAAATATGCAAGTATATGTAAAACACATATAATTAACGATCCGTAAAGTAACTTCCACCTAATTAGTGTAACAAACATTGTTTGAGCACGGTGTCAAGGAAACATTATTATTTGTTATTTACATTTTATATGTATTTCATTATGTTAAGGGTTATAGCAAAAAATATCTTTATAAAAATATATTACTGTTGATTTTTGGTGTCGTATTAAATGTATTTTGCTTAAATCTTTCCTGTTTATTAAACAACTTTACGAGTATATTGATATTGTTTATAGTTCAATACAAATACATAAATATCTGTTTAAAAACTAAGCAATAAACTAAGTCGAATTCTTTTTTTTATTTTTTTTATTTATTTACAATGGGCTCACTCTTGACCTCAATCTAGCCTAAAGACATAGATGAGATCTACGGTGGGACGAGCTTGCCCAGAAGCAACCTATTCACTCTTGCCCTAAATAGGTCTGGGTAATATGCACTCGGGAATATAGACGCCGGCAGGGAGTTCCACTTCTTGGCAGTGCGCAGTAAAAAAGAAGAAGAAAAGCGCTTAGTACGGCATCTTGGGATATTAACCAAGTGAGAATGGTATCCCGCCGTGCGTCTAGATTGCCGATTGCCATTCAATGACTAAAATGGTGATTGATCTTTATGTAATCTTCCAAAATTGTCTGCTGTATTTAAGATCATATCTTCAACACCAATGATGGACTTGTCGCAAATGTACGGTAACCTTTACGAAAATTTGGCAAAAAATGGCAGAAAATTCGAGAAAGGCTTGCTCAAATACGAGGTGGAAGACGATAGAATATGGCCGCCGAGTACTAAAACCAAAGTTGACTTGTGTCTGTTGAATCAAAAACCTGTTGAAAAGAGATGTCACGCAACTCGTGAGTACTTTTTTCTATTTATTTATATATTATGATTTTATATGCGAGAGAGAACAAGTCTATAAAATGTATATAAACAATTTTCATTTCACCTCCTGAACATTCACAAGGATACTCAAAAATATACGCCAATTTTCAAATATTTCGATATCACTGATTTGAGCGTTCTGATTGTGAAAGTTAAGACTTGGCCTTTCCCGCTTCTATATTTTACCACTATCGCGTAGTTTTCTATGAAACTGGTAATTCTTTGTTCTTTAGTCACTTCACAATGTCCGTGACGAATGCCGCTTGTATTTTCTGTATTCTTTATAAAAACAGCTTTTCAAATTTTACGATAAATGTTGCATATGATGAAATGCGGTTTCTGTGCAAAGAAGGATAAACAAAAGTATATACAAAACAACATACGATATATTTGCTTAGTAGCTCGGTTGCGTAGTGGATAAGAGCCGCGGCCCGCAATCGTTGTTGTTAAGCAACTTTCACAAGGGTCGGTCACGGGATGGGACCAAAAAATTATTATCTTGAGCTACTCCGTCCTTCGGAAGGCACGTTAAGCCGTTGGTCTCGGCTGCATTTGCAGTAGTTAATACCCTGCAATCCGCATTGGTCCAGCGTGGAGGGTCATGTCCCATCCTCCTTAACCATCCATAAGGAAGGCCTGAGCCCCAGCGTGGGGACGTAAAAGGGCTGTTGATGATGATGAATATATTTGCTTAAGAGTAATATATCTTTATTAAATTTTAAATTGGTAGTATCTTTCAGACAATTTCAGCCTACTTATTCGCTAACGCAACTGACAACCCAAAGTTATAATCGCCGTAAAAAGTGAGAAACTCCAACGTGGCAAAATCATAAATTCGTATTTTCTATCGACGATTCACAATTTTAAAATTTTAATATCGACAATCTCCTCTGTATTCCATTTTGACACTTGGTATTGGTAAATAAAAAATATAGCAACTGGCTAAGGATTTATTAAAAATGACCTTTGTGAACAATTTAGCAGTTGTCCTGAGAAGTAGCTAGATTTCATTAAAATTTAATTAAAAAACAAATGAATTTAACCATTTCAATGATAGAAATATACACAAATTTGCATATTTCGATGATAACCTGAACAGGTTTGTTTTTTGTAGTCACTAGTAGATTAGGATAACCAAACCTGTTTATTTTTACGAGTAATTCTAAACCGTTAAATATTGATAGCTTAGTTTTTAGTGAACAAAATATCCAAAATAATGTCACTCAAATTAATTCAAGTTATAACTGTTAAAATCTAAGGGTATATAGTATATATAGCAGAAGTTTAATTACAGCTGAAGATGGCAGTAACACCCTACTCGGAATCAATCTCTTTAGCATTTGGTTCTGGCGTAACCATAACCGAATGGCCAATGCTCTTTCTGAACTTAATCCTGCCTGGGACGACGAGAAATTGTTCTACACTGCAAGAGATATCAATATAGCTACTTGGACACAAATCGTATATTATGAGTTGTTGCCACTTCTCATGGGTAAATTCCATATATTCAATAATATTTTTATGTATAGTGGATATTCATGATGTTTTAGAAACAGAAAATTCAAACAAATACGGCATCTATTTACAGAGTAATTTTTCGAGCCTCACCGCAATTAAATTCTATTTAAAACAGTACGTGATATTATCAAAGCTATATCTCATGGTCTTTATTTAATAGCTATCAAGTCGAGTTTTTATTATAATATAGAATTAAAATGTTACTTTCATTTCAGGAAGAGATAACTTAATAAGAGATAGCGTGATTATGTCAACCCCAGGCTTTAGAGATCTATATAACGAAGAGAAACTACCTCAGATTGCTTTGGAATATCCATTAGTTACAAGATGGTTCCATGTCATGCAAGAAGGAGCTTTGAAGTAAGTTTGGCATATTTAAATAAGATTATTTTCCTTCTACTCTCATCGTTAAAGAATCAAAACTTAGAATTATTGAACAATATCCCATCTTTCAATTAATAATTTAATAAATCTAAATCTAAATCATTATTATGTATTCGGCATCAACAAAACCTAGATACGAGACACTAGAATTATTTTATAAATTTTCAATAATTGAAATTTGTTAAAAAATATAGTATCTTACTATTTATTGGTAAAATTTTGCTTTTTAACGGACTGGTGATACTCATTTCGAATACATGTACATATTTTAGATTATACGATCAAGATGGATACTATCTTAGAGATTTTCCAATCGTAAACCTGACTCTAAGAACGGGCTGGTTGGCTGTAGATGATAATATAGACTATATTACACAAGGCAGTTTTAGGCAAGCTTGTGGTAAAGCAGACTACATTGTTGATCCCGACGTAAGTATCAATACACTTGAACAACTTGCGTTTCAAAGTTAAAGATCCCGTGTTATTATCTGGAAATACCAAAAGATTTAAAAATAATCGCGAAAATTCTATGTCTTATTCTTTTCTTCTTTAAATTTTATGGTTGCATAAGGATAGCACACACTCTCTTGATCATAAAATATGCAATAGTATTTTTTAAAATAGAATAGCAGTTCGTCTTGATACTCGAATGTTATAGATGTCTGAAGTCGGCTTGGGACCTCACCAACGTGCAAATGATGTACTGACCAGCGACTTAGCCAAAAATAGATATTTTGGATTCAAGCCATACGTGGCTTATAGAGAATGGTGTTTTGGCAGATCTTATGATGACTTTGATGATCTGAAAGAAGCTTTTGATCCTGAGGTAAATATTTGTGATTTGTATATAATATTTTCAACTAACTGTTACACATGGTCATGTTCTGTAATCATACCCAATGCATTGATTTTTTATTTTATTCTCCAGCCTCCTAACTTATATATTCATATAAAAAAAGAATATCCTCACTAGGATTCCGGAGGGTTACGTTACGTTATGAAAGAAGGACAAAAAAAAAACAAACTGTCCCATTATATTATCTTCATATGGACTTTTGAGTAGTTAAATAGTTTCATGAGGAATTTGATGAAATAGAATCTCTAATAATATAATTTATTTGAAATCGAATAGAGACTGGAACTACTTAAAGAGCGCTACAAGTCAGTAGAAGATATCGATCTTATGGCTGGGTTGTGGCTAGAGAAACATGTGGAAGGAGGATATATTCCAGAGACACTCTACTGCATCATGTCAGAGCAATTGATTCGTTTCGTAGTCTCTGACAGACACTGGTACGAGAGACCAAATAGGCCGCACGCTTTCACAGCTGGTATGCTTTTATTAAAATTTGTTTTCTTAGCTAATACAGTACAGGAATTTTTACTTTCTGCACTGTTATATTTAACATTTTGATACGATAATTTACATCCATCGTTCTTTAGTACACACACCGAAGCCATTTTATTTGTAACCTATTTGTTTTAATTAAATTATTCTAAATTATATCATTAAATGGTATTATCTGCTTCCCCCGTTTTTTTATATTATTAGTGAATTCTGAATTCATGACAAATATTATCTGAATGCTTTCATTTCCATTTTGAATTAAATAAGTTTAATTTTGTAAAATGTCGTCAATTTATATTTAGCTTAATGTAATTATAATTGACGTTTTTTATCTAGTTAAAATATCTGACGGTCGTGTGTTTTTCTAAAAATTTTTGAGATTTAATAAATTTATTACCATTGGTCGATTATGTGTAATATTTTTAAGTACCCTGTAAAAATGTTAGTAGTCGCACTTTTTCTCCATTAAAAGTTCATCGTGTCTAATTCAAAACCTTTTCCACTGTGAATTATTTTGTAAAAATGAGTTCAAAATATTTATTTTTAATATTTTTCTAGTTTACTTTTATTAAAAAATGTGAAGTTTAAAATTTGTTAATCACATTTCAGATCAACTATTAGAGATTAGGAAAGCTTCCGTATCAAGATTGCTGTGTGATGTGGGCGACAAGGTATCAGAAATACAGCCGCAGGGATTCGTTAGAGCTGGACCTAAGTATGTATTAATTATTTCTTTAGTGGCAGAACACACATCGTAACACTATCTGTCTTTTTACTTTTATTGATGCAATTTAATATAATTCGATACACAATGTAAATTTTGCACTCCAATGATAACTCTACCTACAATAAAACAATAGAAGTAAAACTTATAGGATAAAATAAAAAAGAAAAATAACAAACAATTTCGGAGATTACCAATCTAAAGAATTATAACAAGTTGAATGCCTTATATTTGCATGTTAAGAACATACTAACACTTATACTTTAGATTATCCATTTTGAAAAAAATATTTATTGGCATATAGTTTAGGTTATCCTAATTATCTGTCAGGTTAAATTAAGTGGAGGCATTTGACAGTTTTGTGTTAGCTGACTCGTTGTTGACCTTTTTGTAATTCATAATTATTTTATTTATAATACAGTCGCAAAATAAGATTATAATAAAGTTATATTCACGTGTACTAATGCTCTGGGACATTGAGATAAAACTGTTTGCAAGTTTTGGCAATTTGTTATTAATTCTATAATTAAACTTTTTTATATTTCAGAAATAAAATCTGCAGCTGCGAGGAAATACCAAAAATAGATTTGAGCGCTTGGAAAGATTCGGGTTGTAAAAACCATTGTCATTATAGAAATAGGAAATAATAGTGCTGGCACTTAAATAATATTTCATAAATAATATTATATAAATATGAAAACTGTGTTATTCAAATTTATGTTAACTTTATTTTGTGTTTTTCATTGTATTTCATTGAATAATGAAAATGTCCACACATTATTAGGATAATAATGTTTAAAACTTGTGACATAAAATTATATTCCAGGTTTATTTTGTTTACTAAATAATATAATTCATTTTGGTTGTAAAAAAATAAACTTTGTAACACAATTTTTATATATATTTTTTTTATTTGGACTATTTCAAGTAATAAAAACTAAGTCAGTGTCTTTCAAATTCGAAGTGCTAGAGAGTCGAGAGTTCATCCAACATTCTTTATAAATGCAAAATTAACAGTATACGTCTGCTGCACCTCTATGATTATAAGACAAACACCCAGTTGCACAAACGTCCATTAAAATTGACATTAGTTTAAAGTGACATTGCCGATACAAATTTGACATTAATTAGAGTTTAAAAGCGTCATCAAAGCTTAATGGCCGATTGTGCAACTGGCTGTATGTCACTGGCTCGAATATGACGTAATTTGGTAGAAAAGGATTAATTTCATCCAAAATATCAATAATGAATTCGCAATCGTAGAATTTATCGCTAGTGGTGATAAATATTTCAGTCACCACCAAGTAGTTCACGTATTTCACCCTTCAACAGCTGTTACAACGTCCAATACCAATGCCAAAACATATTTTTGTAATTAGTTCCATAAAAAAATAGAACTTAATTTATCGAATTAATCTTGAAAGTCAAACTGTAAAAAGTCTGTATGCAAAAAAAAAAAACGGTTTCCTCTCCCCTGCCACGTGACAACACCATTAGAAACAGATGCGGGGTCCGGTGTGTGCATAATTATTGGGGAGCCCTAATTGACAGTGCGATGGATTTTGACAGGTCAACCACGCGGTAGGCAACGAGAACGGCGACAAGAACAATTCCATGTGCATATTCCTATAGACAAGGTAGAAAAATAATTTTTTCTGGTTCCATCATTGTTTTAGATGTCTATAATACAAGTGCTAAACGCTATTTAATTTGCAATCTAAGCAATTGATGTGATGTTGTCTAATATTTAGCTAGAATGCAAATGGAATGGACAAATATACAGATCAAGTAAACGACTTATCATTTTCCACATTCTGTACGGTGGTAAGAGACGTACTAGATAGAGACAAAGAGATATCATTTGCATCAGATGCAATCCTGATGCTTACGATTTTAGACGTAAGTTTTTGGTTTTCTTTGTTAACTCGAATCTCGAATCTCCACAAAAATAACCAATTTTAAGATTTTGCTCATCGGTCATCGAGGAAGTTTTCACGGTCCAAATTTCAACCATGCTATTCTGTAATTGTGGCAATCTGGCCCTCCATTGATGAAGGGTCTCCTAATGAATCACACGTGTGTGCTTTTTACTAACACATAAATAACACGTCAAAAACAGTACTGCACCCCTACACAATGAAAATTATTGTATAATAGATAATTAGGAATGTTGCGGATGTACTCAACGAAACTCAGTGGTGTATTTTGAAATTCACATTATGCTCGCTCCATAATTTAAAACTCACCAACTATAAACTTTTCGATTACAGTCCTGCTGTCAACTGAACAGTAGGAAAATAGAACATATTCTTACGAGCTAGGGCTTGCGATAAAAATGAGCGCCAATTAATTTCACAATTGGATTTTATTTAATCAATGAAATTACAAAAATATTTTTTTACACACTTCACTAATTTACGTCGCTACGGTCACTTCACAACACTACTTGATCGTCCCAATAGTTCATTTTAGTAGCATTCACTTTGGATCTCACTTGTATTCGCTCCCGTTTTCATTTCACTTGCCACTGAAAGTTAAAGTCGTGACGGATATCCCACCACGTATTTATAGGGGGCGAGGTATACTTTTACCACATCTAGAACGTTCTAGGTTGGCCTCAGCCCTACCGTTCTTTTCAAGGCATTACTAAAAAGTTCTAGAATGGCTACCCGTCCCTTTTTTCCCCAGTGACCGTCAGCCCTTTCTCGCCGACCCGAAATAATATGACATGACACATGTAGTTTCAACGGTGCAAGCGCGATGCAAATGACACGTAACGCCATCTAGTAATGAGTAGACAAAACATCACGCCGCTGCGCTCCGTAACAATATTTTCTTAAAACAATATGAATAATCAAAATTCAAATCTATTGATAGATTTCCATTAACGAATGCAATTGCAAGCTTTATAAATTTTACAAATTCTGCGTGAAAATCGCATATTGTAATTGTTTTCATGTATGCTCTTTGACATGACCAATCCTCCTTCCCACAGAACACCTTACCGTACATAAGCGTTGGAATCGACACTTCATTGAAATCAATGATAATATAAAACCACTAAATAAGGATATTATACCATCTACAATAGATCTAATATGGTTTTAGTTTTCCATATCTACACGTCCTGGAATCAAATTTGTAACACGAATCAATCGCCTATTAATTAACGCCAGCGTTAATACCAAACTTGCGTGTCGGGCTTTACTATTAAATTTGCGATCGAATGAATCGCGTCACCAGTCACCCCCGATCTTGTGGTTTGTATCCGTCGCGTGGTCGCCAATTTGTGGCAAAACGGCAGCGGCACTAATTGGCCACAATTAGTCGCCTGCCGTCTGCCGGAGTGTACTAATGACGACACTGTGCTGTGCCGTTTGAAATGCGTGTTATGAAGTGTTTAGATACAAAGCAAAGAGCAGAAGGAAGAGTAGATCTATTCAATGTTATGTTTGCTCTTTGATTTTTTGTATATCTTTAATCGACCATTACCATATGTCTTAGAATATCTAAATCAATTACAAAATAATTGGACTGCATGTGTCCATGCTGTGTATGTTTCTACAAACATTATAGTACGAGGTCAATATGGAATATAAAATCTATTGAACGTAATGGCGAAGCCAATTTAATTTTATCTATTTTTGCTAATTTCCTTTTTTCTATTTCTTTTCCTAAGAGTAAAATACTAAAGGAATATTCGAGAGTTTACTGTTTGGTGACCAATATAAATATGTTTCGATCTAAATAAGAGGTTGCTTAGCAAGCAAGTTTGACCACGAACCGGAAGACGCAGCGTGGGTCGACCCCCGACTAGATGGACGGACGACATCGTCCGAGTCGCGGGCGGCCACTGGATGCAGCTGGCGCAATGTCGTCCATCGTGGCGTTCAAAGGGGGAGGCCTATGTTCAGCAGTGGACGTCTTCCGGCTGATGGTGATAGCAAGCAAACTCAAACCACTTCAAGCCATGACAGCTTTATGAATAAGAAAACATAGATTGTCACGTGTAATTTTATCAAGTTCTATAAAAGTATTGAATTTTTAATTTTATCACGAACTTTATGATTTTAAGCGCAGGAGACTAATAGAATTCTAAACGGTGTCAAAGTGCAAATCCAGATGATGTTCATGAGTTAAAAAAGGAACTGGAAACCCTTTATTTATACGTAGAAGATCCTAGATTTTGCTGAGCTTGTGTAATTTCCTAGTTAGTACTTAGTTTTAGCAAGTCAGAGACCAAAACGTAAATTGTGATCAAAAATTTGTTTTTGTCACTGAGTAACTGCATTGTATACCTTCGTTATGAAAATTTAAATAAATAATGAACTGCATCTTTTTACTTTCAAAATCAGCTACATAACAATATTATTCCCGTAATTATATAACCCCAATATTGCATATTATGGTTTATAAAACAAGACATATATTGCATGTGCTTTCTTTGCTTTACAAAAGAACAAAGTATGTCTAACAATATCCTTTTGTTGCAATATCATGCAAATGGGAGTAGCGAGGAGACACTTGAAGGACTGATACAAAATGTCTGAGTTTTTGGTATCATTTGAAGCTTCAATAATACTGTTTCTTTTCTTGCAACCAAAAATAGTGTGTATTTATTATATTTTATTCGTTTTTTCATTAATAGTAGTATATTGCTAAAATATCTACTTAATCCCTGGTACTCTGATCGAACCTACAACCTTCCGCAATCTGGGCAACTGCGCTAACCATGTAAAGTAACAAACAAAGTAAAAGTACTTGAAAAATTAGTTAGGCCCTGGGTAACTCAGTAGTTAGAGCAGTCCCCGTAATTGCGAAAGGTCGTGAGATGGAATCCCATCTCAGAGTACCAAGGACACAGCAGATTTTTTAAATTTTTGATTAAGAATAGTGTCTATTTATTAAACAAAATATTTGATGTCTTCTGATATTTAAAAAAAATATATCTATTAAAATTAAATTATTAAAAAGAGAAAAGATTTGGGGTTTGCTTTATATGTATATAACTCTGTGTATAAGAGCGTATATTCATCGATGTTTAGGCAATCCACCCAAAAAGCGTATTTGATGCAAATACGCTCTTTTGTAGCGAAAAAGTAACAAGTGCTTGAAAAATTCATCAGCACTGTAAGGTCCTGAGTAGCTCAGTGGCTGGAGCAGCCGCCCGGATTACGAAAGGTCATGAGTTCTAGTCCGAGTGTTTCGGAGTGCCAGGGACAAAGTGGATTTTTTAAGCATTTTTTATCACGACTATTTTTCAGTATAGCATTGTAAATGCAAATGTGATCAAATATAATTAAAAAAATTAGCGTAACATGAACTACCTACATATAACAGAAAACCATATCTTCAAGCTTAAAACTTCAAGGCTGTATATACTCTAGTACACAAATAGTCTAGAAGTATTATAATTACTATAATCTGTGTCTTAATCCTCTTATAATAGATGTCTGTGCTCTAGTACTCGTATGAAGTCGAAAATTTAACGTCACTAGAAATATAATCACGTCGGCAATATAGGAAGACATAAGGGAAGACATATGACATAAACATAACATACAAAGAAAACTTAAAACTTCGTTATTCCGTTTATTCCACCAAAATCACTCTTTCAAACTCAATCAACACACCCGGAGAACAGCTATCAAAAGAGCTTAATACGGGAAAGTTCTTACTCGTTTGCGGCCGATTAAGGAGTAAATCAGTCGAATCAGCCGCAAACAGTTTTCGAACCCTGTCAAATTACGGACAATTCATACAGCGGGGTAGGACTTGGGGAGTTTTTCAATGTATTCAATTAGGTAAAAAGCCTATAAAAAACTTTAATGAAGATTTTTTTAGAAGAAATGTTTATTTATTTTCAAGAACTTTTTTATAAAAGGCTTGTTCC